CAGTCAGGGTGTGCAGTGGGTGTACTATAGATCAGTCAGGGTGTGCAGTGGGTGTACTATAGATCAGTCAGGGTGTGCAGTGGGTGTACTATAGAGTAGTCAGCATGTGCAGTGGGTTTACTATAGAGCATTTAGGGTGCAGTGGGTGTACTATAGAGTAGTGAGTGGATATCAATGCACAAATTCTTGCTGTCTTTTAAAGTTAACTAGTAGAAAAAATACTGGGTGGCCACAGTTAGGAGCGCCGCACTGTGATATTGAAATTATATTGTATATACTGTTCTTGTAATGGCCGATGAGTGTACTAAAATGAGGTCACCCAGTCATCTTGCAAGGCTGTGCGAGGCTGCTCATTCAAAATAAAGGTGGATAATGGGAATTCAGGTCAAAGCAAAAGGTCAATTTCTTTAACTTTTCCTCTATAAACGCATCACATGTGCTTTTATATCTTTTATTGTGAACTAATGACCGGAAGATCTCGTTTTTGAGAACGGTGTATAGTTCCAATTTGTTTGATCTGTTGATAATTTGTTTCTCTGCTTTATGAAGCCTTTATCAGATGTAGTATCAAAAGTAGAAAAAGGCTATCGTATGGATATACCAGATGGTTGCCCACAAGAAGTCTATGTTATAATGAAGGACTGTTGGAATCTTGCTCCCAGTAAAAGACCATCATTTGGACAGATCGTTAAACGAATGGAATTAATTCACAAAGGATTTCTCTAGTGCCTTGTCTAATCATCCACATGTAATTATGCCACACACTGAATAAGTTCTTTGTCAAAAATTAGTATAATCTGATTTCTAAGAATGAATAGATTCCATTGACTAGGGTCTTGGGACTACTATTATAAGATTGGTATTACAAGTTTTCTAATCTTGACATACCCAGATCTCACACAACTTGCTGTAGTAATGGATTGTAATCTTGCAGAGGAAGTGAATGTTTATATTTTGTTTTCTTTAAAAACTAGAACTCTGTTCACTGTAATGAGGTTTTGTATGTTTTAGGCTAAGTATATAGTAGGCCCTATCAAATGAAAACAGAAATCAATTAAAAATAAACACCACATTAAAAGATTTAAGTTGTTACTTAAGAGGATAATCACACTTTTTATAAATAGTATATTAAAAACATAGCACAGAGTATGTGCAAGAACTAGGTAAGCATAGTAAGCATTACGTCAAGGACATTGCTGCATCAGGTATTAGTAGATGTACTTGGGCAATCATGAACAATCAAAATAATGATCGTGTTGTCAAATAGTTAGCAATTAAAGATTTTCTTAACAAAATATTTTTTTATTGTCTTGATTGATTGTGAAAGCAAAGTTTGAATTTTCCAGTAGGGTTTGAAAGTATCTATATGCACAACTATCAATTGGTTGTCGCATTCATTTTTACCCCTGGGTTCCTGAGGATGTGTTTAATTAAAAGTCTCTTAGTATGACACAAACTATTCGGAAAGACTATCTGGAACTAAGCCATTTAGAATATCGTTACACAGAAGTCGCCCACCCTTCTCCTCTCCCTGCTCACGGAAGGAGAATTTGGCGAGCGACAAATAGGAAAAATGAATGGTGTTTAGTACATGCTGTATCTTTTGGGGGCACGGGATTGGTGTCATTTGAGTATTCTGTGCCAGGGATGGAGGATTTCCACAAAATTAAAATCGATTGACTTATATGAAACTAGATGCATACCAAGACGACAGGCTCATTTGCACAGGCTTAGCTTCTTTTATAAGTCAGCTATTCACACACACTATTAAAAGTCCATTGCATTTCAAAACATTCACATTGATATTGTTCAAGCTGCACATTCTTTGCATTACAGTTGACTATATTGCAAATGATTTGCTCTTAAGCAAGGCTACGGCTGTGGAGATAAGTCTTGTCAAATTTTTTGTAACAAAAAAAGGTAAAATGTAATGCCTGATTTTTTATTTTTGTAAAAATAAAAAGTAAGGTATTTTTGGTTTGGCATTTCGGGAGTGCAAACAAAATGGTGGATTTTTTAATTTGGCTTCTCCCCTTCTGAAAATCCTGGCTATGGCCCTGATAATTAAAATATTGGACATTTGAAGGGATTTAAGTTAGAGCAACACTCTGGACCAAAAGGGTATGTTGGTAAGGTGGACATTTATTGGGGTTATTTTTACATGGCACGCCCTGATAAGTAAAATATCAAACTGGATAGCTATTGCTACATGTACAATAGACTAGCCTTGAAGACAAACATTTGTATTTTAACCAAACTGCATTTGCTTGAATACATTTTTCAACAATCCAAGCTGAGGTATGACAACACATTCTTCTGTTTTTTAGCTTTCTTCAGACTCCATGGCTTCTCCTTTTGTTTCACCCTCTCCTCCCTAAGAACAATTATGAAAGATATCTAAATTAGTTTCCAAAAATAATATAAAAGCAAGGGCGGATCCAGGGTTTTTTTGAAGGGGGGGGTCTTAGGGGTAAATTTTGTGCGCAAAGGAATCCCAGTCGCATTTTTACCACAGAAAGCCCATTTGACCTCAGGAATGACAGGGGGGTCGTGACCCCCCGACCCTCCCCCTGGATCCGCCCTTGAAAAGGGATGCAATTGTCATTTCAAAGTGATAGAGAAAACATTTATCCATTCACTATCAGTTTACTTACGCCATTGCATAATGTACCACATCTACTATTAATCTAACCAAAAGTGAAAATTTTTAGCGAAAATTTAATAGAATCAATATATTTCTATACACCTATTTCAAAAAACATTGACTAGAATGTTTGTATGATGTCGTCATTTTACTCCAATAGGAATTGTGAATTTTCTTTCTTATTTAAATTTGTATTCCCTCATGAGAATAGTAAGACAATTGGTGCTAATTAACTGAACAAAAGAAAGTGTGCAAGGGAGTCTGTTAGCAGGGGTCAATCATCGCCATCATGCAAAGGTCCTATTCGAATCTAAAAGGAAACTACCTTGTTTGGCATTGAGCATATTTCATTTTGCAGCATGTTACTTGGTGTCAGATTTCTGACCAACGTTTTTTGAAATAGGTGTATATGTAGATTGAATGTGTGGTTGGATCAAAATGACTGTGGATTGAAAAGACTCCAGGACTTCTAGTAGATAGGTAAGAATGTGTGTGGGTTGGGTGAGGGCCTCCTTCCTTAGTAAAACATGAATAAACACTTATCCTCTGTCTTTGGCCAAAAAATGTTATCCTGTGAGATCAATAACATCTGACTGGAAATATTTCCATGATTTATGAGTTATAAAATTAAAGATTGACACAAGATGGCCAAGACTTTTCAATTATGTTATAGGCAAAACAATCACTACCCCAAGTGATTTTCAAATCCTTTCACATCAAACCCTTTCACATTTATAATTATGACTTTCATTGTGAATGTATTGGCTGTTAGTAATAAAGACTTCTTGTTCACAGAATCTGTTTCTAAAGATAGTTTTCCAGTTCAAATAAGTTATTAAACTTGAATAGCAATTACCACTTCATCAGCACCCATAGTAACATCAGCTTCGGCCTATAAAAAACCATATATCCATGAGCAATGTACAGTCAATATTTATGAGATAAAATTGCATAAAATATTGAGAACTTCTACACTTTGCAGGCTTGTACACACACCTGACCACCTCTTGCTTTCTTGGATTGATCCAAACCAGCCAACTACCATTAGTTAAGAATCATGACATTACACTTGTAACAAGTTATCAATAGACTAGATGAGACAAAAATAAGGCTAAAAACATGCTTAATAAAGTTGTTGAGTGAAAACATGTTTTACTGGCAATGTCTTTCTCCTTTCTTTGTCAAGGCAATAGCGCTGCCAGTGTCACATTGACGATTCATGAGTAGAAAATTAAATTGGTCTCCCTACTTCACCTTCATCAGGGCAATGGGATGCTCTTTTGAGCTAAGGAATACATGTATATCTTAAGCAGAATGAATGGCTTGATAGGAAAGAATCGATAAAAGGTATTATGCCATTTGACACCTCAGGTGTCGTGCTTCATTCAGTTTACAAAATAAATGTCACTTCCACAATTTAATGCCATTTATGAACCAGAGCTTATTATATAGTACTTGCTGGTGGGCCCAAAAAGGATCATTCTGGATTTGATGGTTGGTCGCACAGGATCACAACTCAATCTCTATGCTATATTTAATACTGAAGGATACAAATGGTGCTACAGCATCATCGTCATAGGCAATAAAGGTTTGATTCAAACCAACCAACCCAATGGAACAATTCTGAAAACAAACATCATAACCATTTTAAAATGAAGCATCTTCATAATAAGAATAAGATTATGCTGGTATGTACCAATATTGACAGCCAAGTATAAAATATGCGGCAGTTTAAATTGCTGCAAGAATATTTGGTTGTTTAATATGTTTTATATCAATTAGGATTTATATCAATTCTAAAACTCATGAATAAATAAATGCTCATGTCTTTAATCCAATTGGAGCAACCAAACACATCAAGTGCATGGACCTTTATGCCCGTTAAGTCTTCTTCATAATTATGTAGTGTTCTAAAGAATGTGTAGTTTCAGAAATCATCCATACCAACCCCACAGAGGAATTTGGAATTTCCGAAGAGTAGGGGGGTCAGAGAAAGAACAAAAATTACAGAGTTTGTATGGAAGAAAATTGGAATTTCCAGGGGTAGGGGGTGTCTTAAAAAAATTCCTCCGTGGGAGGGGGGTATGGATAATTTTTGGAACTACACAATACATAAGAATGCAATCTTCATATCATTAGAATGAGATCTATAGTATATTATTTTCTAGGTCCTTTTTTTTAAAAAAAAATATGAAAAACGTTTTTCAATATTATTATCATATAAAGAATACTAAAGAGGATGAAAACTTTATCAGAGATAAAGTTGCATTAATTATTGATGAAGATTTAAAGCCTCAGTCTCATGTTTGATCACTGCATGATGACTAAAAAATCTTGTTGACTTGCAACTCTTTCATGAGTTTAGCATGCTGACAGAACTACTCCTAATTGTGGTATATTTCCCAAGACGCAGGATATTGACAAGATGTTTCTTCCATTAACACATTCAGTTTTTAAGGAATGAAAAAATTACCTTTGTGGTTAGTTCTTGCTCTGAAGGCAGTGTTTCCCTCAAGGCTAACAAGCCATGTTTAATCAGTTCTTCTGGTTCACCTAAAACGAAATCAAAACATGCAAAATTAACGAAAACAAGGTGTGGCTGGTGACTTCATAACTCACAGATTGAAGTCATTAGAGTATCTAAAAATTACAAATTGAGAGAAAAAAAAAAACGAGAGAAAAAAATCAAAAACCAAGGACTGTTTACAGTTGAAATGAATTTGAAACATTTAAATTTTTTTTGCATCTCTTTTCATCAAATTTTTTTTTGTCCTTCCACTATTGGTACCCTTAATTATGTCCCTATGGGCTAAAATAATAATTGTACATACAATCAGGAAAGTTCTCTAAATGCTTTTCAAGGTATGTTCTTGCAGACTGAAAAAAAATTTGATGCATTAGAATAATATTGAAATGGTTTTCTTGAGCATGTGTGGGAGGATGGCTAAAGATGATGAATTACATAGAATTTAGGGAAGCATAGGAGGCGTATAGTAGCAGAGGTCTAGCACTAGCTTTTCACCAAGGTTACCCCATTACAAGTCCCGTCGATGTGAATAGAGTTGTCCTCTCCTGTGCTTTGAGGGTTTTTTGGGTTTTCCAGTTTTTCCTCCCTCCACAAAAATTGACTTGTAAATTCCAATTCAATGATTTATCCGTAGACTTATCAAGTGGGCTGCAATTGCTGTTGAGCTTTCTGTCTACCATGAAGAAGTAGTAAATCCAGCTAGATTTTTGATCAAAACATAAGACTTTTTGGAACAGATTTTCAAGTCCTTAAAGCACCTTTCATAATAAGCAATTATTGGATGAGGTTGAGCATGATATCAATTAACACAATAATTGATACAATTAACACTGTACTGTTCCTCAACTGATACAGTACAACTCTATTTAAATTAGATGTTTAATGTTCAGAACATCTTGTCCAGAAAACCTCCCCAGATTCCACTTTTCACACTATTCTTTTCTTTATGTATTTTCATCACTTTTTCTAACAAATAAGTCATGCTCACTTTAAGAACTTCTACAATTTCTTGCAGAGAACAATATTGTGAAATTCTTGGACTTAACAACTCTCCAATAGAGAGAGGGAGGAACTGGAGAACCTGGAGAAAATCCTCATGGCAAGGGAAAGAATGAAACATAAAACAAACTCAACTCACATATGATCTAGTCTGAGCCAGGGCTAGAACCCAGACCACATCGGTGAGAGGCAAGCAGTAAACCACTACGCCACCCACGCCACCATCATGTAGCAATTAAAACAGTGGTAATCTGCATTAATTTTCAGGTTTTTTCCACGAATATAAACTACTTTGAGCCTCTCCAGTTCTGTGTTTGAAGTATTCCCATTTGTTTATAACAAGCTAGAACTCTGTTTAAGACTTTACCTGTGAGCGAGCACCAATTGCCATTGCTTTACAGTCAAAGTAATTAGCTGATGGACATGTCTGGAATATATGAGGACCCATCTCCTAGAAACACATAATATTTATTCAGGTCAGCCATTCATTAGCAGCAAAAGTTCTCCAAGTATGATTTGCAATGCCATGTTTTGTCATTGTATGTTTTGACGTCCTGTTTCATAATTTAGGAAGGTTTAAAATTAAAACAAACACTGTGATTGACCTATCTTTGAACACCAAAGTTTGACATCATTTAGCTCCAAAACGAACATGTTCATTTCTGGAATAGCCATGACTTTATTAATAGTTACAAGTGCAAAGTTTTCTAACCATTCTATGTTGGGTTGTATTTCTGTGTAATTACCTTAAGCAAATCATAGTCAGCTGACTGGTATTTTACTCAAAGTGTAAACATCTATTACTAAGCAGGCACAATTCCACAAACAGCTCAGACAACCCTAACGTCATCTAGTTGAGTTAAGAACTAGCCAATCTAACTGAATTACTATAATTGGATTTATAAAACAGCAGCCATACTGAACTCGAATTTTACTTCAAATTATACTGTTTAGCATTTTTACACTACTTACGTCATATCCTGCTACAAGAAGACCCACTCCATAAGGTCGCCGACCATACCTCTGGGTTGGTATTTGCATTTCTAATCACAAAGTCAAGGCTAAAAACTTTAAGTAATTTATTTACAGTGTAGTATTTAAGTAAGTATAAGCAGCATACTATATTTCCTTTGTTATTACATACCTAAATAGCATTTGGTTTCTGGCTAACTACTCATTAGAAGGGAGGGCTCATTATAAGGGAGGGCTCATTAGAAGGGAGGGCTCATTAGAGATTGGAGGCTTAATCCCTTTTTTCCTGATCTTTGGAAATTGATAATTACACTGTAATTTTATCCATAATCTCGACACCCAGGAAAAATGACTTTCAAAGGCGGCCTTTCAAAGGACTTATAAGAAGCTGGGTGCTTGTTTAATTTTTAGCACCTTAGATTAATGCCAGGGCATTCTAAGAAGAGTGATTATTCAGTATTTGGGGCTTAATAGAGGAAATATGGTATCTGATGGAATTATAAAATTTCAATATCCCACATTGTTCAACGGAATAAGTAAAGGATACTATCACCCACAACTCCAACCAGTCTTGACACAGGTAGACTTGTATTATATGAATACTTTGAATTTAGGCATTCCTTGCGCATGAACTTACTGCAACATAACAAGCAACTTATCATAAGAAGGTTAAGGCAATTCTTAAATGAAAACAATACTACAGTAAATAGCAACAAACATGGTTTGATGCTATTTATTATGATATCTAAAGATATCATTATGACTTGGAAACCACTTTTTTAATGCATAAAACAAAAAGCACCACCGTCCACCCCATAGGCCTAGTTTTGTTCTTTGGAAACATTATTGATGGCCAGGATTTTTTTCCAGCTCAAAATTTCATAAAATTAACTTGCATCATTTGTTGAGCTTGTTAAACATTATCAACTTGTGGTATCAATACCATAGATATGAGATATCAGATGTTGGCTTATGATCTTGATTTTACCGTAATATAGGACATACCTTAAAAGCCTAGCATCTGCTGTTAAACCAGCAATAGATATACCAATATGGTCATCTACAGGAAGAATCTTTTTCTGATGAGCAGATAACTCTGAAGGAGCACGCTGAAAGACAAGCACAAGGAATCTGAAAAATAGATCTTTTTCTCAGGCAAAATCAGAATGTTATCTTACACGTTATTTCTGATGCTTCTACACAGATTAATGCTTGATTTGCCACCCCACATTCATTATTATCCACCTACCAACCAACACTTGATTTACCACCCTACATATATGTATACCCTACCAATGAACACTTGATTTACCACCCTACATGTATACCCTACCAACCAACACTTGATTTACCACCCTACATGTATACCCTACCAACCAACACTTGATTTACCNTGATTTACCACCCTACATGTATACCCTACCAACCAACACTTGATTTACCACCCTACATGTATACCCTACCAACCAACACTTGATTTACCACCCTATTTCGAAATAAGTAAATTTTCAATATCATTTCTTTTTACCTTAAGGGCAACTAGTACTGCATGGGTCTTAGACTTCAAGGCAACTGTGGCTGAACCCTGTAATAAAGAATTTCATAGTCAGCTTAATATAGGAAGCAATTATAAGTGTTCATCATCAGAGTATTCAAATTCTGACAAAAAAATTATACCTTACAGAAATATTTCAAAAAAAAAAAAAGATAGGAAACATATAGTTAACGATACATGTTTCGGTGTCATCATGACTCCATTATCAGTGAATTACAAGTGTACAGTACATAGTTTAAGATCAATCGAATTAACATATTATTACTTGTAAAAACAAAAGGTATTGTTAAGTAAATAGTTTGGCCTTGATAGAGTCGAATCAATCGAATTTGTTCCTACATTTTTTCAAGATCTAGTTATTATTGATATCGTTTGGCATGAAGCCATGTTTGTTTTTGAAATGTCTGTATATACTTGATGATGGAAGTTTGTGTTTTCACAGCGTTCATGCAGGGTCGTAGGGTGTAGCCTAGAAATATTTCGACAGAACAAATCTCTGAAAAAATCAAATGCCTCCATATATCTAAGTAAAGCATTAAACTTTTAGCAGGTCAATATCTAGATATTAACCTTACATTTTATCAATTCATTCCCTGTTACAATCTCAAAGTACCCCATTTTGTTTATGGTAAAACTCTGCCATGTGGCTAAAAAAGGACTGGATTAAAGCTGATCATCCAATCATTTCCACCTTGTTTGCTACATGTACATGTGGGATAAGCAAAAAAATTGAAAACTACATAATTATGATCTATTCATGAACCACAAAAAGGATTAAAACATAAGATGTCTGAGGTTTTCAACATGTCACACAGTTTTCTCTCAATATTTGTTGTTATAAAAACCTTATAAAATTTAGACATCCCCTGGCCATTGGTCTATGACATGCATGTGCCTTATGGAAGGTTTTATCCTGATGTATTTCCAGTGGTGCAACCAGACTAAAAAAGGAGCTTGGTTGTCAAAATTGATCCTTCTTGGTTGCAAAAGATGGCCATTTTTTAACATTGTAAAGTCCATGGATAGTATTTTTCAAAAAATACAAGTTGAAAATACTTGTGTGGTTTTGATTTTCTCATATTTGTTTGAAAGCGAAAAGCATGTTTAATCTATAACTGAAAGCACAGAAACCATGCATGTCTTAAAGTGAATGAAAGCCATTTTTCGTATTCACCAAAAGATGATTTTTTGTTTTTCAATCTCATTTCCAGAAAAAAAAAGACTAAAATTGCATAGCTTTCCCATAAATGTGACGGCCAGCAAACTGCTTGTGCAAGGATGTGACATCAAAAAAAAAAAAAAGATTCCATGAAACCTCCCATTTGCCTCCATCCTCAGTATTTTACTCTACTCTACTCATCATTGTGGTAAATTGTCAATTCTTCACAGTCATACGCAAATCCTGTATTTAATTCCACTAAGTGTGACTACACTTCAACAGACCTGCTTTACAGCTTCCATGGCATATTCAATTTGATGGATTCGGCCCTGTAGGATAAAACACCAGGTTACTGTAAATATATATTCTACAATAAATTGACGGACTTTTTATGGCACTTTTTGCTATAGAGGAAATTTATACTGTTGAATTTAATATTATAGTCTTTGGTATTGTAGTCTTTTTCTTTTTCTTTTTTTGACCCTAAATGAAAATTAAGACAGCCAACTAGAAAGCTTAGCTCCTTTGGCTGTCGTACACTTACAGCTATTATATTGTTAATTATATTCAAAATTCTAAATATTATTCAACTATATATATTCTTGTAATGCTATTATATAAAATTGAAAAAAACAGTGTAAATAAACTGAAATTGAATTGAATTGAATTGAACTGGTCAGCAAAATATTGAGAGCAAAACAGCATCAACTGATCCTACCTGGGGGCTCCACACCGTAACATCGTTATCATATTGGTTCCGAAACTGTAAAGGAAAAGGTAACTTTCTTTAGCAAGTCAGCAAAACAGTTTGAACAAGGACAGTATGATCATGACTCAGCACATGGGGAAGAACACATTGACAAAGATTCATCAATTTCTTCGTCCTGCTGTACATTACTTGTTAAAAACAATACATAACTTTTTCTTAGCCTCAATTGTACAGTAATACTACAATAGATATTACAACAAATGAAGAATCGAGTGTTAAGATAAGATATAATGACAGTGCTTTCTTACCATTTTGTTGGCCGGTGTGTTAGTCTTTGAACATTAATGGGTATTACCGCTGACCATGTATGGTTAAACACTATGTTACGTATCACCAAAATAAAATGGCGGACGTATGGACGTATTCATCAGGGGAGACTTTTAGCAAAATGTCATTCAAGTGCATTTCCATTTATTATTGCTATTGTTTTTTTGTGTCTTTGGACTGACCTAATATGACATATGGCTACCTATAAAAAGAAAAACGTCGATGAGCATAAAAATAAAGTTGCTGTACAAGAAAATCCGACTGAAAAGCAAGGAAAACATGGCAGACCCAAAACAGAAAATCGCAAGAGGAATGAATTTTTTGAACAAGTCGACTCTCTTAACCGCGAGTAAGCTATAAAAGAAGTACAAATAATTTAATGTATTTTTGAGTAGAGCAGTTATCTTCAACCAAAATAGCTGTTAGTACAGTTGAGCCCACAATCAGATACACTTGTTTTACAAGTGAGGCTAACGTTATCGGGTCGATACGATGCTTGTTGTCTCATTTGCATGCATCCATAATAACTGCTATTGAGTGTACATATAAACTATATTCTTAAAAACTCATGAATAATTCATAAACTTTTGATCTAATTGCAGCAACCATACACGTTACATGCATGGACCTTTATACCAGATAAAATCCTCTTCATTAGTTAAAAAAAAGAGGAACTATTTGAAGGAGTGTATGTGGAGTGTAATAGGATGGGTAAAAAAATACTAAAGTGAGGAAAAGAGTAAGGAATAAATAGATTTAGCATTTTGTGACACAATTGATGATAGAAGGGATTAGTGAAAGCAAGAAAGGTTTAGGACTTAGTGGGAGTTGGCGAAAGTGGTATCTTTACTTCTGCAAATACACTGATCCTGGGTAAGCTTCATTTGCTACCCAAACAATGGGTCGTTTTCCTAAATGGAATACAGAATGTCTAATCAACAGACTTGAATTCATAAGATTTTGTTAACACAATTTAGCTTGTCTTACATAGTAAGAGTATCTAGGTAGGTAGAAAAATGAATGCGGGATCGGTATAATATCAGAACAGTTCAAACACAAACATCATCAATATCAGCAGGGCTCCTGATACTTGCATAATAGGATCTTGGCATGATCGTTGTTGTTTTTCCTATTAATCTTCTCTCTTTTGAGATGCTTGTCAGTACATGTGACATAATTAACTATAGACTGAGTGCATGTCTATAACTTGCTTCTACTATCGCTGCAATAAGCACTTTCTTCAGACTGTGGGTTTTCTCTTTATTTTAGAATGTATGAATTCCTACCTTACTACTTCATGTAAGACTACATGAAATGGCACTGGATTCTGTAATAAAGTTTAAGGGTAGGGTTTAGGCTAGGATTTCAGGACATTATAATGAACAATAAATAATGAATAATCGAACAGTACCATTTCATGTAGTCTTACATAAAGTACCAAACACCATATATTCCTTTATGGTAGACTGTGCTTCCATAGATAGCAGTCTGTTAGCATCTGTAATGTTCTACAAGACTTACACCCTTTTCTCTTTTCAATCAGATATAATTCCTTGGAGAAGGAAAGAAATACTTTAATGTTCAGTCGTCGCAGTGACTTCAGGAAAGAATATTGCAGCTTTGAAGATTCAGATGTAAAGTCTTTAAATGAGAAAACAGCTGAAAGTAATTCTTAATGATAATGATTCATTTTAATTTTTTATGCTCTATTCTAAAAGAAGATAATGCAACTTAAAGTGCATATAAGCCCTACACAATGCCTTCAAGATTTGAAAGCCCTTAAAAAAATAATAAGAATGGCTCTTCCTTTTTCTTTGATATCTCTTTTCATTGTCGAGATATTCAATATATCATCACAGTGACCTATTGTAGTAAAAAGTCAAAAAAATACACAGTCAGATTCTAAATTTTGTTTGAATTAAAATTTCAACCTTTGTGTATTAGTATAGGAAATCGCACGATCTCGAGTACAATTTGGAAATTAATAGACATGAGTAATGTTTTGAAAGTTCTTGTAATTGCACGAGCCTTTAGGCGAGCGCAATTAAAGAATTTTCAAAACATTACGAGTGTCTATTAATTCCAAATTGTACAAGAAGATCTTGCAATTTTTTGTTTATAGTTCACTCAACAAAATTTCAGTAAAAAATGCGAAGCGACGCCGTTCAACTTTGTTTATTTGGCGGCCGATTTTCAGTCCATCGCGCAACTGAAATGCATAAAAAAGATTAGTTCTTACGGCTTTAAAATTTTATTTATTTGTTTTTTAAGTACAAAATGATAGAAAATAATTGTTTTGACATTGTTTTGTCCGTGTTGTCATAGCGACTTAATTCGGTACTCCTACGGATTACAATTAATGCTATAATAAATTGTACTCCTCTCGACCAATCAGAGTCGAGTAATTTTGTTGAGTGTACTATAATAGTAGTAATATATTCTGGCTGCATTACCAGCGTGTTTGGTCCTTGTGGTGTAGTGGTTAACACATCGGACTGGAATACCGAAGACGTGGGTTTTTTCTCTTATTCTCTCTATTTGTGTATTATAGATTTTTCCATAAAGTGAATCATGTCCTATAATATTGAATATCTCGGCAATGAAAAGAGATATTAAAGAATTGTGAGGGCTTTCAAATCACAGAAGCATCCTCTAGGACTTATATGAACTTTAATATGAATTGAAGTTGTTGTAGTTTTATTGAATAGTGTTTTAATTACCAGTAATATTGTATATTCGTAATATTGTTTTCTTGGTTCAGAACAACACTTGAAGCAACAACTTGGCAAGATAAGAGGGAGTGTGAGCAAGTTTCAAAGAGAGCTACTAGATGTCAAGCCCTCACCTTCATGTAATGATTATTTTTTGATTCTATCTCCCTTATATATTATATTACATTCTATGTACTAGTTATTCATTATTCTATCATCCTAGTATACACAGGTACTGCAGAGGTGGGAGGCTTGGGAGAGCTTAGCACAAAAATTATTTTCTGTTATGAGTTGCCTAAAGCTTTGGCCAGACTTTATTACTTATAATTAGCTAAATGTCCCATAAAACTGCAGCACTAAAGTTACATTACCTTGCCACAAAGGATTCCACAAATTCTAGAGTGGGGTGTGCATTCCCTTGGTCCAACATCTTCACCCCTCACCCCTCATCTACTCGAAACTACTGTATGCTCTGTGGTCACAGACCCTTGGGTGGATTCACCACCCAGCTGCCTCATCATCAGTTGAACCTATGACATCAGACTGTTGTGTGGAAGGCCAAGGGCTTAATTCACCGACAGACCAATGCTCGGAGGTTTTTACTTTAGGTCAAGGGGAAAGTGATACTTTTGAAATTACATCTGTAAATGGTTAGAGTAAGGTAACCACATAGTTCTGCACTGAATATCTCTACTGCACAGTGTAAAATGGTTGGTAATTTTTAAACCCCTTCCTATCATTTGAGTAGACCCTTTAGTTTGTTTGGTTTTCATTTTTCGAATATTGCTCTTGCCAATGGGTCATGTCATTCAGTTTTTCTTTGATATCTCCTTTCATTGTCAAGATATTCAATATTAGATACACAGGTAAATTCAATACATGATCATTTCAAAACAGATGATCTAGCTCAAGTCTAGTGTTTGTAAAACATTTAAAATGTATGTCAGATCCTTGTCGCTCCCAGCTTCATAGCTTTTTAGTTTGGGCATTTCAAACTTTGCATCATCTCATTGGAAACAAGATTCTTTGTGTGAGTTCAAAATTAGTACCTCTTGTAGATAACTTAATTTATTTGAAGGAGCATATTAGAAAACACTCTGAGAAAAAACTGTGTTCTAACTGAAAAGTTTTGAATTAGTACTAACATTATTATATTATCTTCATGATTTTAACACGTCTTAATCAAGTTTCTCTTATTAAACTGATTTAGTTGTTCAAAAATTAAAAGACATGATGGAGGAAATTGAAAGTTCTATTATGGCATTCAAAGAACAGCAGCAAAAAATGTAAGTTATTATAATTTTGCCCAGAACATAAGAAATGTATATTAGTATAGTATACAATGTAATATACATGAGAAAACGCTATGCATGGAAGAGAACTCCTTTAATCAGAAGTAGATGCAGGTGCACATCAGCCTTTGACTGTCTGAACCTCAACCTGCTTTGTCATATAAAGTATGCATGTATAAAATAAGCTGATTTGTTACTTGTTGCCTATTTAGTTTATAATAGATACATGATGTTGAAATTTGTTTTCAATTACAGCTATGACGGTTTGATTCAAGAAGAAAAATCAACTCAACAAGAGATTACTGCAATGGAAAAGAAATTTGATTCATGGTGTCAATTACCAGCTCCTTCAACAGTTGCTGCCAATGTTAAGAGGACAACAAGCACTGTAACAGCATCTCTACCACCTGCGGTAGCTGCATTTGAGGTAGTCATTCACAAAACTCAGGGTCTTGCAAATATTTCCTTGCATTTAAAGAGTCTAGCATACTGTCTTGGATAGAGTAGATTGATGTTCAGAACATCTTATTCTTGAGGGCCCCACATTATCACTATCAGCCACATAAAATTTACTGTATTAAGTAAGCTCACAGTGAATTGTCTTCCACCTCCTATTGTCTAATTTTGTAATCTTGTGCCCTACCATTAGGATCGTGAATTGAATTTTGTTTTGGGTTGTGGAGGGGGGGAGG